TGATGCCAATGTCTCCTCTAATGCACCCAAGAGTCAAGGAAGTTCGAACTGACAGTGGGAGTCTTCGAAGAGGTAGGTTCAACATTGGTAAAGGAATGAAAAAGTAACAAAGGGTATTTGGGTTTTTTTTCAGAGAAAATTTTAAGTCTTGTGAGTATATTATTAAGAAATCTAATTTTTTCAGCAGGATTCAAAAAGGAGCTTGATGCTTGTGCCAGCACCCCTGTGTAGCTCATTGTACACTACATTATATACTATAATATATATATTATATACTATAGTGTATACTATATTAATATAATTTTAAATATAATTTATTTAATAAATGTATGTAATCTTTCCTGAATGCTAATGGAGAACTGTTTAAATAAGCTAACGTCAGGCATGATGGCATCTTTCTGTAGTCCTAGCTACTCAGGAGGCTGAGGCAGGAGGATTGAGGATTGTGTTTGAACCCAGCCTGGGCAAAATAGTGAGACCCCCCTCATGTCCCAAAAAAAAGAAAAAGAAGAAAGGAAAAAAAAAAGATAAGTGTATTAGTCTCTTCTCATGCTGCTAATAAAGACATACCCAAAGCTAGGTAATTTATAAAGGAAAGAGGTTTGATTTACTCACAGTTCCACATGACTGGGGAGGCCTCACAATCATGGTGGAAGGCAAAGGAAGAGCAAAGACACCTCTTACATGGCAGCAGGCAAGAGAGCTTGTGCAGGGGAACTCCCCTTGATAAAATCATCAGATCTCGTGAGGCTTATTCACTATCAGAGAACAGCATGGGAAAGACCCACCCCCATGATTCAATGACCTCCCACCTGGTCCCTCCCATGACACGGAATTATGGGAATGACAATCAAGGTGAGATTTGGGTGGGGATGCAGCCAAACCATATCACTAAGCTAAATACCTACTTTTCCAAATTTCACAAATTTATATTCTTCCTTTGCCTGTGTATGTCTCTATAGAAAAACATTTAAAGCAAAATAAAATTTGTATTATCTTTGGAATGCTTAAGTTCATCTAATAAACTAGTTATTTATACTCTTAAAATAGTTCATTTTGAAACTCACCAATAGAAATATTTTAGTTCATTCTTCCTTATTTTCTCTTGTGACGTAGCGAGCTGATGTGTGCATCTTGTGGATTATATAGTTCTTGGATTTTAAAAAATCAGTTAAAATCTCCTGACCACATAGTATCCCTTAACAAATCTTAGATGAACAAGTATTCAGGTTACATAGTATAGTACATCCATTTTTGGACTCTGTGTGATTGTGTATGTGTGTTCGTCTGTCTGTCCGTCTGCAGTCTTTGCTTTACATGCAATGCAGGATCATAAAAATGACTGCAGGCCAGGCACAGTGGCTCACACCTGTAATCGCAGCACTTTGTGAGGCCGAGGCGGGCAGATCACCTGAGGTCAGGAGTTCAAGACCAGCCTAGCCAACATGATGAAACCCCGTCTCTACTCAAAACACAAAAATTAGCTGGATGTGGTGGCGAGCGCCTGTAATCCCAGCTATTCAGGAGGCTGAGGCAGGAAAATCACTTGAACCCAGGAGGTTGCAGTGAGCCAAGATCACACCACTGGACCCCAACCTGGGGGATGGAGCAAGACTCTGTCTCAAAAAGAAAAAAAAAGGCCGGGCGCAGTGGCTCACGCCTGTAATCCCAGCACTTTGGGAGGCTGAGGCGGGTGGATCATGAGGTCAGGAGTTCAAGACCAGCCTGGCCAAGATGGAGAAACCCCATCTCTACTAAAAATATAAAAATTAGCTGGGCGTGGGTGGCGGGTGCCTGTAATCCCAGCTATTCG